ATCCCTAAATGAAATATTGGCTAGAATGATAAGGGCACGGTTACACAGCTATACCCTGACTAGTATGACATTTTGGCACATAGAATAGGCTCGCGACTCCTTGATAAATCTACAATCAATTTGAAAACCTACATAAACAATTACATTTCTTACATAGTGTTTTATGTCATATATTCGTGGAATCGATGAAAGCTTAGAGAATTTAGAAAGTACCTTTCAGTCTTAACAGCTAAAAGTATTGTAAGAATTATTTCTGGAGGGACTTGTCATTAATAAATTGTAATTTAACGTAGTAGACATAGATATATCTCCGGCACTATAGATTACTTGAAAATATATTGAGTATTTTCAAAATGGCGCGATCTGTGACCTCATTTAATTTTACGAAAATAACTTTGTCTGTTACGAATGCCGACAAATTAAGTACATAGTAGCCACGATAACACGTCTATAAAATAAACATTGAACACTGTTTTACTTATTTAAATATATAAAGTTATTATTTATTTAAATTTTAAACCTGTAGACCAAATAACACAAAACTCTTAATAAATCTTCCGCTGTCAATTGGTTATCGTGTCTACCGGTATACATATATATATATATATATATATATATATATATATAAACTTATTTATTTTGTTAGGCCTAGAATAAAATATTAAAAATATGTTCCGAACTTACAAAATAAATGGCACAAAATTCGTAGCTGAGTGAAAGCATCAAGTCACTCTAAAAACATGACTGGGGTTTTGATTAAAGCCTCCATTTATTCTAAAGCAATCAATCAATTTTATTATTCGCCTATTTTATACATATACTATAAATACTTAATAAATCAATTATACTTAGATTTTGGCAACATTTCGGCATCAAGTTCCAACGTAAAAAAGTTAACTGTTGAATACATTTGCCTACATTGTTAAGATAGAACACAACCAAAGAATCACACAAGTTAGTGATATAATTACGTAGCGTATAAATTTTGCAATTTCACCTTAAATATAAAAATCTAGAACGACTTTACATGACTGAAGTCAATTCACATTTGGATCGTACTTTGGCAGAGGTTCGCTCAGGTACTAGTAGAAGGGATCAATTAATATATAACCATAACTACAGAAGAATAACATCACTATTTTGTTTTCAAATAACTAATTTTGCAGGATCACTCCTGTAATCGTTAAAAATGTCCTCGGCTTGAGCTACGGCTTCAAAACGCATTTAGTTAAAAAGAGTTTAGTAAACAACATTTAAATACATTTAAGATACAAACATGTCTTTTATGTGAATACTGCCCAAAACTAAAAGCTAGGTGTTAGAAAGTACGTAAAAGATATCTCGGAAGACAGAGAGCGAGTTAAGAGTTCACAACCACAAAAACTGTTATAAGAGGAGAATTTAGTGGGATATAGAGTTCCGACTACAGGCAGTCATTTAACTATAGACACATGTTACTAATAATATATTTGAGCAATTACACTTATTGCTCGATTTGTACATTGAATTTTTAAATTATAAACAGTTTACATGGAAACAATATATAGTACATTTATCACAACACGTAGTTACGAGTAAACATTCAATTAGTATTACAAGTTACATTAAGTAATTTATATGCAACAATGTAACCTATACTTAGACATCAAGTGAGACTCGAATATTAAATAATAGAAACACTATTAAGAAGAATCAACAAGGAACTAGATAATAAAATTATCAACATAAAATATAGAATATTTGAGCATTTCAATAATATTGTGTAAAAAAATACTATCCCTTCTTTTGTAATTAATGCGTCAACTTCTGTGAAAGTATAATTATGGACGAAAGAATATTTTAACTTTTTTTTTCTACCTTAAACCATTTATTATCCGGTTCCTATATCCAAGACTTAGTTTCGTTCTCAGCAAGGATTCGTTATCTCGTATTAAGTACTGATATATACAAAAATTATTTCTGTTACAAACTATTTGTATGGCAACTTAGTATAACTAATTTATCTTAAAAGAAAAGTTAAATCTTCTTTTTTGTTAATAACAAGTATTTTGCTTTATAAATGATCGTATCATGTGCATACTTTGTCTATTGCAAAACGGGTCGCATGAGATAACGAAACATTTTTTGAACATAGGGGCATTAATCAGTAGCTGACACTTTTATCTTTTACTGAAGATTTGGAAAGATTCGTACGCGTTATGTAATCATAAGACGTTTAAATTAAAAATAAACGTTCACAGAAGCTTCCTCATTTGTCATATTTCTCTATAAATTGTTTATCGATATGTGACTAGTAGATTCCGGTACGGACGCTTATTTGAAACCAGTTGCAATATTGACTACTTAAAACAGAATATTTTTTGTCCTCTTCTTTACAATATAATTGTGTAAATAAGACTAGATAAATAAAAAAATAACTACAACTTAACAAGATTGTGAGCAAAACAAGCAAACGCAATAATGAGCTAGGCTCGCAATAAAATTAAACAATAGAATCGAGGTAGTGTAGTTGCTACACGGTTATGTATCACTTATAGTAATTGCAATACTTATAAAGATCAATATCTTGAATATAACTCGCCCGCTCTACGCAGCGGCGGCGACGAGCAAGATTTATTTACATCACACTTGCGAAGTCACATTAAGAAGTCTGTCATATAAAAACTTTACGAAGGTAACCTATCTATATTTATCAATCGTTATACAAAATATTTTATGTGCTCTCTCCAAGCTTAGCACTACGAGAATACCGAAAACATTACTATCTTAATTTGAGGACCGTCACAGTTCCTTGTGGAGTTCCATTAGCTCCCAGTCACTAATTCGCTTTACTAAATCACGTTTAATTACTCTCTATAAAATCTATTTTGTAAACATTCTAAATGCTTAAATGTTTCAGCTTTTTTCGTCTAATTTCGACCGAGTTGCCTAATATTAATCCAATTTAGCGACTGAGCAATACAGTCGCGGTGGTCTGTAAGCTATGCATCTCGCTGACAAAACATGTAAGATATAACGACTTTAAGCCTCTAATCTATAGAAGTTATATATTTGCCGATTAAACATAAACAGCTAACTTTGTGGCGGTACTCGTTTTTTTTTCAATTATTTGGTGTGAGGGCACAGAATGATCGAGTGAAGGGTCGGTTACTGTGCGTGCGTTTTGTTTTGATATTCGGCTGTTGTGTGGGGCCTGTCATCGGATCTCTCGACCTTTTCATAAGGCTTTTCGAGTTTAGGCCTTTTCGGCTCGGCGTCGAGTGGCCGGTGCGATTTCATGTGCGCGCTACGACTTTTTACTTTGTTAAACACTCTGAAACATAATAGGATATAACTATTAAAACGGCAACTGAAATTAGAAAGTGAGGCAAAAGAAAAAAAGAAAAAAAAAAGCAGAGACCGCAGAAGCGAGGCATTAAAAAGCGTTAACACAGGAAACCTATACATATTATATATACAGCATTACCTCATATTTACTAATTTTAGGTTATGAAGGACATAATATGCATTGATATCTAATAAAAATACTACGTTACATTTACATCGATTCATACTTAAATTTATGGCTGAATGAAATTCTTGTAATTGGCATAAACTCCACAAAATAACACACAATTATATATAGCTAATAACTATAAAGACAGTATTTTTCACTCATTATCATGGAATTTGTGTTTTCAGGGTCTTTCACTGAGAAACTGCAATTAATAGACCGTAATACATTATCCCATATACAATGCTATTTAAACGATAAAAATATTAAAATATTACATGCAGTTAACATCAATAACACTAAAATACAAACTCCGATCCAAGAAATGTCGTAAGCCTAACCAAAACACAAAACTAGAATTTTCTGAAGTACAACATATCCTGAACCAGCCTTTATTATAACTTAATAATTAAAGTATTATATTCGGTTCTCAAGGTAAGAAATACTAAATATTAATCTCTTATTTGGTAAGGCATGCGTAATTTATGTGAAACGATGTGGAAGCGAAAATTTAATGGAAATAGTGAAATACAAGATTTTGGGATAGATTTCCAAGTTTCACTTAAATCGCGCGTATTTCTGTCGATAGCGAGTTTTGGAAGCAGTATGCTATGTATATTGGCTTGCTCCGGGTTGTCACTTACTTTCCGCAAATCTTGCACGGATATTCCTCTCCCTCGTAAGAATTTGGCGACGATGTACATGAAACCGGCCCGTGCATGATCTGCGGTACTGAACCCTGGATATAGACAAATCAATAGTTTTAGTATGGTAGTTCTCAATCAACATTTACTGGAGACATAATGTTAGTAAACCAGAGTTTATGGCAGTGCTTACTTGAGACGAGGCCTGCGGATCCATGCACCAGCTTCGCAAGTACAGCGGCTTGTAGTCTTTGGTCACTTTCTTCCAGAAATAGTAGAACTGCACGCATTGCTTTGAATCCTTTGTTCTTATCTGAACAAACAAACGGTAAAATAAAGATTTTTGTAGAACCGACTTCAGTGTAAATAAAATGAGAACATCATCAATGTAGTTAAAGTCTATTAAATATGCATTATTAAAGATAATTCAAAAACTACAGGTCAGGTCTTGTTTAATTTATATAGGATTACATGAGAAAGCATGGGCTTTCAAATAACATAAAGAATTATCAAAATCGGTTTACCTAGAAAAAAAGTTCTGACATATCTTACTATAAGTGATACATAAAAAATACAGTCGAACTAGCTTGCCGGGCAGATGTTGTTCTGCCCTTTTCGACGTCAATTTGTCATGTTCTATTAAAAATCCTTAAATTCGCAAAAAAAATTTGACCAAAAACTATCTTATCTCTCAAGTTGGGCCAAACTGCACACAGTGTGCTAACTTGATTAAAATCGGTTAAGTAGTTTAAGAGTCCATCGCGGACAAACAACGTGACACGTAATTTATATATTAAGATTGTACCTCCTCTTTTTTTGAAGTCAGTTAAAGATTATGCAAATCTATTGTGATGTAAAAATTATTATTTTGTAACCTAAAATAGATATTAATACAAAAATCTGCCTGTAATCTATACAATGAAACCAAACGTTAAAATAAAGTCAACAACGATTCGATTATTATATCACAATTGTATTTTAAAACAATTTAAACTCGTACTTTATAAATATTATAATTACCACGAAACAAAATGTTAATGCGCTAAATCAGCTGTAAGAAAAGGGAATCGTGCGTAAATAATTAAATAATAAAGTCTGACTTATCTATCATATTAGGGCAATCCTGTATGGGTATAATAATAATAATAAAAAATTGTATATAAGACATACCAGTTGCGAAATTCTGAAGAAATCCTTATCGTAGTGTCCGAGTCCGGCTAAGAAAGCTTCAACTTCGTCCGGAGTCCAGCGCGACTCGTGCTGTGAAGGAGCGGCAGGCCGCGACATGAGGCGCAGCGTCGCAGCCCTGATGTCGCCACCACATTCGCCAAGTGTCTGCAGGGCGAACTCTCTTGTGTGTCCGCCGACCGGCATTGCCGCGCACATCGCCAGCTCCATAAACATGCGTACTAAAATAGTGTTCATTTAAAAATCTCGCACGTATAATGAACAGATTGGACACATTGACATCTTTGCGAAATCTAAGGTTTTGTTTAGGCATGACATCATGAAAACCATTAAGGAGCATAGTAGTTGCAGTTAAAACCATGTATTCTCTTTTCTTTTTTATATGTTTTTTTCTGCCAGTATGATTAATCAAAATAAGTTATTTTATTTATACTTAATTACTTTTATTATGTTTATATATTTGTACTATTTATGTTCGTATTATATATACGTATATGTGTATATATGTATATAGAAATGTGTATATATGTGTATGTTTGTATATGCGTATGTGTGTATATGTATGCATTTATGTAATACATAATATCAATCTACCAGACCCTCCAAAGAACTCAACTTATCTGTAAGCTTTGACCACCCTCGTTACACTAAATTGCTTATGATTTGTCTTCTCGATTGTTTTTGTTTGTATTTCTTCCAACAACAATATACCATCAAGCAATATAAGGGAAACCTGTTATTGGCCATACTTTTAGTTTGTTACATTAATGTTAAATATTTTCTGTATACGCTGTTGGTTTTCGAAATAAATAAATAAAAATTGGTTGTTAAATAAACAGAAAAATCTAGAGAAGCTTATTAAGAAATTTGGTTCAAATGGAATATTATGTAGATATTTAAATATTTTACACTTAAATATTTTTCACCGTGAAGTGGCAGTGTAAGAATATCCACTACATTGTTCCATCCTGAGGCGGCGGAGGAAAATAAACCGGGATATTGGTAGCGTTTTCCTAATAACTGAAAAATAAACAGATTGCGATTGGCAACCCGCGTGCTAAGCGTAGTAAATATCCCTCGTCTGAGGCAATCTACGGGAGAGGCCTATGTCCTGCAGTGGAGTTTTGACAGGCTGTGTAGCTGTAATGGTGACTGTAACAGTATATTTTACGCCATAAAGCAATCACACAACGCTTTGCAGTTGCGGGGCGATACCGTCTCGTGTCCAGGGGGTTTCGGGGGCAATAAATCGATCTAGCTAGGATTCATTTTTAGAAAATGTCCTTCTGTCCGTGTTTTCAGGCAATGAAAAATTGCTACAATATAAGAAGGTAAATTTCGACAGCGTATTAACGATCGTAATAGCTCAAGTGGGATATAGGGCGGTCGCAAAATCGGAGTGCCCTGGTTCGGCTCCGGTCTCTGGTCCGACTTTTTTTCCTTTTTTTTCAAGTTCCCTTCTTTAGTGAGAAAATCTATTATTTCGAGCCCTTTTTTAGTATTTTTTTCAAAATACGAAATTTGAAATTAAACTAATTGCACTCATGATTTTTTATTCAAATAACCAGTTCAGTTTTTTCTATTATGTCAATAAGATCAAAAAATCAATATGTAATTTGTATCTAAATATAATTTCCCAAATAAAAAAACCGAGTAAAGCTCGGTCATCCAGGTACTTGATTTATTAAAATACACAAATAGCTCAGGGGCTAAGCGCTTGCTGTAAATTTCACATTACGCTCGCAACCCAGGTTCGATCCCTGCCGGCACCAATGAAAATGTTAATTGCAATTATAATTGCTGATTTACCACGTGCTCGGCGGTGAAGGATAACATTGCAAGGAAACCTACATGTCTGAGAAATAAGAAAAAATTATAAATTGTGAAGACATGTGAAGTTCGTCAACACGCATTGGGTCGCAGCGGATATTTCCCTCTCAGAAATGAGAGGAAACTTGTGCCCGGCAATGGGGTACATTACTTGGGGCCTGTTACTTTACAAACAAATGTAAATATAGTGTTGTTTGAGGAATTAAAACCATTATAAAACATTAAAAAATGAGAGGAAACTGTGCCAGAGGAGTATAAAAGTTATTACTTTACAAGTGTTTTGAGGATACGTTATAAAACATTAATACCACGAGACACTGGAAGTTTTAAGATTATTTCGCTACCGCTCCGAAGTTGCAGCTCATAACACAGCATATGGTATTATTTCACGTATTTATATGTACTGTCACAGAATAAATAATATGTTATACGTGTTGTGATGTTATATTATACGTATTTAGGGTAATGCGACTGTAGTTATATGTATATTTTAGTTTGCATAGAAATTCGAATTTGTAATAACTCTGCATCGTGTATTGAATTAAAATAAGCCAACGCATAGAAAAATAAGCTATTCCCCTAGTGTTACAGTTGTACCAGGGCGGTGGTATTCACTTACCATTAGGTGAGCTTCATGCTCGTTTGCCAGCACTTATATAAAATAAACTAATTTTGGTAGGTAGTTAAATAAGTAGACATCAATTTATAATATGGCATTAAGGGAAAGAAATTTGGCTGGCTTAATCTTGGTACGAATCGGTAGAGAGTTCACAAGAGATTCATAAAAAAGATTATTGGATAAGCAAATTTAATTTTGACTGCAGGAAAAGTCCTTAAAAAAAAAACGAATCATACCTTCGTTATCGTCAAGAGCATCGTTGATGCCTGGATCCCAAAGCAGCTGCTCCGGTGCTCTATGCAAGTCTATGCGGTCGTTGCACAGCTCTGGTATATTAGCTTGGTGATCGATTCCAATATTGATTTGCGGCGGACGGGTTTCTTCAAGATGTGCTATCACATCGGTCTCCGTGGTCGATAGTCCTATAATAATACGATATTATTAATAATAGTTTAGAGTTTTTACAACAATAATATATCATATCATCTCCCCCGTGAGTGTCGTAAGCGCATACTATGTAAAATGCCAGGCTTCCGACAGATGGCGGTATATAATTATTGTTTATGCCAGACTTAAAATATCGAGGACGCTGACGTGGAATACTGCCAAAGGTGCAAAACGTTTGCGTAGTGTGATGGTTACTTCTGTCATGCGTAGTGATAGTGGCAAACTTTCTATTAAATGAGGGAGGTACATTTTAACAGTAGTCTATTACGGTCTTGTAAAAACGAAGTAGCATGTAGAGAAGAAAAAAGCAGTTTTCGGGTCTAGTTAGTTTTAAAACGTTAAAACTGTTATAAAATGGTATATTATTTAAATATTAAGATTGAACTTTAGATAGTGTTACACGTTTTTGTTTGTTTTGTTGTGTTAGAGGGTCAGATTAATATAGAAAATACTTTATAAATCCTTAAAGGATAGGTTATGATAGACTGCGACGGGCACGACACATTTATATTACACCCAGTGTTTTTAGTGTTCACTGATGCAGAACGACGTCGTACACTCTAATATTTCTTTTTTAAAAAATAATTAAAAACGCTATATTACACAACTCCTTTCATATTCTCGTTGATCATTTTAAATGCTCGTGTTAGGGGAGGTTTACTTCAGTTATTAAATTGCGTGTTTGAAACCATGACTTCTGTTCTAAAATCCGTACTCTTAAGCTGATAATTATTAGACTATTGTCTTTTTACTGATATAAATGCAATTTTATGATTTCTCCTTAAATAATAACAAAACATTTAATACTTGATGACTATCTTTTCAAGCAGACAATTGATAGAGAGGATTCTAAAGCAAGGTGAACAAAAGCAAGTAGAAAATGGGTCTTGAATGATTTGGAATAGAACTGACGATTGTTTGTCATTCGTTCGTTCATTATCATTACGACGAGCTGTACGTAGGCTCCCCTCTCACATGCTACATAAAGTGGTCATTCCATTAGCAGTCTCTCTAGAATGCGCTTCCTGTAAGGATCTTTTCTACACTCGGGAACTTTTCTACAATAAAATTGTTGGAATACGAACCATTCATCAGATCTATGAGCAGTCCAGAGCCGTCTCTATCAGGCGGCAGTATAGGCTGCGGGGTGTAGTGCGCGGTGCAGCGGCGCATGCGCGAGCGGTGCGGGCCGGCCGGGGACGCGCGCCGCTTGCGTCGTTGGGGCGACGCGGGAACGCTGCTAGGACTCAGGAACACCGCCGGAACCGTGTCTCGGCCTTCCACGCATATCTGTGAAATTATTTCTTTACATTTTATGCTTCCGTTATAGGCCTACTATTTCAATAATTCAGTTCCTGAGGCTATAGCTATTTCGGTGCAGGTTGCGTAATTGAATCCATCACACTATTTCAATCCGTGAGTGTCATAAGAGGCGAATATGGAACATGCTAGAAATTTGACGGCTTCCTTTAAACGGTAATACAACCATATCATTTATGCCAGATGCACAATAAGACTGGCGAAAGGGGTACCGTCAAAGATGTGCGGCGTCTGTCACTGCGATTGTCAATTCGCAGGAAAAATTCCGCCACGGCTGCATATTTATTCTTGTTAGCGAATACATACCTTCCTAATGTTCAGCGAGGATCGCACTTATTATATTCGCGTAATATGAAAGCGAGATTACATAACACATATATTAAAGTGACTGCCGATCCCTTGAGCTCGACTCAAAAAATTATTGCAATATTTCATTTAATATCTTAGTTAGGTTGTTGACATAAAGAAACTCGTCGTCAATGCGATTTCCAGGAATAGATCATTATCTGGATATATTTTAATATCATAATTAACTTTATAACAACTTTTTCTGTATTAATATGATTGATAACTCATTAGTCGAAATATATTATTTCTCTGATAAGCAGATTTTTTGAGATATCTTTACGTCGTGATACAGGGAAATTTATTGAGAATTTTACCTGTAAGGAGGAAGTATCTCGCTGCCAATGATGCATTGGTGCAGAAGAAGACCCCATTCGATGATGGCGACGAAAGTGCCGTTGGTGTGAAAAATCACGCGGACTACTCGATAGTAAAGGATCTTCCGAATTTAACATAATACGGCGTGGTGTAGGAGAAGGCTCCAGTGTGTAGGCATCTAAGGATCTACATTCTTCTGGTAGTACTTCCTCTAATGCTTCTTCCACCTTCGAAAATTAAAGCGTTAGTTAGATTATTATTGCTATGTGTAGATTTAGTTATAATATGAGATAAATATATTCTATTTTACCTCTTCTTGACTGGACATTGTTGCCGTAAAGAAAGCAGCTGATAATGGTGACGAGGCACGTGGCACTGAATGCGCAGGTGAGTGAGCGTCGTGGGATGCTGGAGGAGTGGGATAAGCGATTCCCGGAGATGGTTCTGGCTGAGTAGAATAGTTTCCACCCGGTGAGTTTGCATTATAAGCGAGCCCTGGGGAATCCCCTGTTGAGTAAGATAGGCCTGGCGAACTCTCTGCATAACCAATACCTGGTGATGGTACAGGTGATCCACCGTGACTAGCTCCAAAATCAGCTAAGGATTCAGGCAAAGGTGAGTTTAACACGGCAGCTAGACGCCGACTGGACGGGAACGTAACGGGCGATCGCTCTCGTATAATAGAAGCCGCTACGGTTGCGTAGTCTTCTAATGCAGCGAGCTCCTCCAATTGTTCTGGTGTTGTTGCAAATTGAAAAGTATCGTCATTAAGGGCTGGAGAAAAGTATCCATCATCCGAATTAAATGATACACCAAATAGGTCCGGGCGAAATGTGAATTCTTGATGAGGTGATGATTGTCCGGGGTCAGAAGATGAACGTTTTACAACCTGTAACAATAAAAATGGTTGTTTAACTAATTTTTAATTTTAAAACGAGTTAATGTTATAATAAATATTACAATGTAATAGTTACGTGCCTTAGTGTTGCCTTTCTTTAATAATTCAACGAGAGTAGAATCTCTTGTAGCTGTATTATTAGTAGCAATATTCGGGGCTACTGTTATTACTGATGGGGTACGTGGAGGAGCAAATTGTGTGGATGTTATTGGGGAGGCCGGGGAAGTAATAGATGTACGAATAGTTGACAACGGTGGAGGTGCTGGAGCAACGAAACTCGCTCGAGTCGTGACTGTGTCTGCACTCGTACCTGCAATGAATGAAATTTGTGAAAATATAAGGTATTTTTGCCCTAAATATGTTGCATATTATTACTTTTGTACCGGTTGTTGCGGATGTCACAGCTCCTCGGCGGCTAATGATTTTCTCTTCGATGAGAGCTCGTACAGAAACTGACGCAGTTTGAAGCGGGGGTCCGGAAGATTCTTTCTTGTCCAATTTCTTGCTATCAGAGTCCTGTCGAAGAAAATTATTTTAGTTTTTATAAAACAATATAGAGTACAAATGAAATAATGTGGACAACGAACCTTTTTAAAGTATCCCCCGTGTAAGCGCATGTGGCCATTTAGTGCTGGTATATTTTTGAATTTGCGATGGCACAGATTGCATTCAACTGGCTTAATTTCGCCAGGTCGCGTCACAATCGCAGCCGCTCCGCTACCCGCACCACTCGTTGTCCCGCTTCCACTTCCGACACTCCCTCCTTTTTGGCACCCCTGCTGCGCCTGTGAAATTAACGATGACTTTACAAAAGTTCAAAAGACTTTCAAACCTATTACGTACTTTGTAATTTTAAGGTAAACTTTCGATCTTCAGTAGCTCGTTAATATTCCAAGTTAATTAATGGATTTTAATGGACCCCGCGTAATCTGCGTTACTGTAAAAGGAAAGTCGTAATTATAGGTCAATAGACAACGGCAAGCAGGTAGAAAATATTTTGTATACCTGCTGTAGGAACTTGTCTGGAGAGTTTTTAAGATAAAAGTAAGAGCGCATTAGTAACATTTATTTGTGTAATTTCCTACAAAGCCGCAATAGATGACGGCGATGTACTGCAGTTATTCATTTACGTAGAATTTTAATTAGTTGCGGATTTCCGTCGCACCGCGGTGGAGCCCGCTACACGACTTTCCAACATTAAGAGAGACAAAATTCATGCCATTTTTACGTGTCTGTCGTATATTTTAAAATTTTTACTATTTTTCGCAAGGTAAAAGTTCAAAATTGTTACAAAAATCGCCAAGTAAATACGTGATAGCATACGCAAATAGTCTATCCTGTTTTGACGATTGGTATAATTTTAATTGATATCCAAAACTCAAAATTTATGATGATGATGAATATCGTATAGATGTATATAACAAAATTCTAAAGATTCCTTTTTCTTGATAGCAAAATCAGGAAACGACTATTAAATATCATCTTACATTAAAACTGAATGAGCCGTGGTAGGTCAGGGGCTAAGCGCTCGCTATGAAGTTCCCAGTAGGCAGGAGCAACGGGTTCGATCCCCGTCGGCACCAATAAATTTTTATTAGTGCCGAATTAATTGCTATTTTAAGTGCTGATTTATCAGTAAATCAGCATGTGAAGGAAAACATCGTGGAAAGAACAGAATTTCTGAGAAATAAGAAAAAATATTTCGAAGACATGTGAATTTCGCCAAAACGCATTGGGGCAGAGCGGTGGACATCTCATTGCCATAAAACTCTCTCAGAAATGAGAGGAAAGTGTGCCCATGTGTGGGACGCATATAAGGTGGAAATCTCACTCTCTCTCTCTCTCCCTAAAACAGTACCTAAAAATACAACAAACTTTAGTACGAGTAAACATAGCGCAGCAATCGATTAGCAATTTGTGCTAAAGTTTAACTTTGCAGACAGTACTCTAAACAATAGTATCGGTTTTAACTACTGAATTTTTATGTTTGGATTTCATAAATCATAAATCATAAATTTTTATTTGCAAGAATCACGGTATAAAAAGATCTTACAATTTGTCTAGTGCAATCGTGTTTCGCTAACAATGGTTAATAGCATGCAAATACAGAATCAACAATATTAATTAATTACAGTCTAAAAAATCTTTTACGTCATAATAACATTCGGTTTTTAACCAATTAATCAAATGTTTCTTAAATAATCTTTCACTTAATAATTTAAATTCATTAGGTATTTTATTAAATATTTTTATACACATATTTAGGCAACTTTTATTGTATTTAACGATTCTAGGAATAACATCTAAAACTAGTTTTTCTGGGTCTCGTCGGTTTCGGGGATATATATCACGCGCTTTAATAAACAATGACTTTCGATTTTTCATGTTTGGATTTTGATCCATCTGTATTAATTTGCCTTATATATTTTTTGTAGTTGATAATAAAGCTCTTTGTGAATGTATTGTGCAACCAAATAGTAATTAAGAAGTATAAATACTCGAACTGTAATATTAGTCTTATTAAAATATGTACCATTTTTTACGTGATAGACAGAAGATGTGAAAGTGCAGCATGACTGGGTTAACCGATAAGAAGTAACTTTCTTCTTTCTTCTTTTCCTGAGGACTTGGAGACTGGGGCTGATGGCTTGAACATTCTCGTTCTTGAAGATAAATATCGGTGTCTATAACCCACAGCATCCACTAGCCACTAAGTGTAGTGTGTTTGCTTGTCACGCTTATTTCTTTAAAAATATATAATTTTTTTCTTCATTTTGCATTTTTAATTTTTGAAAGTATGATATTTTTGTGTGTCTAAGATTCTTTCACATTCACAGATAATTAACTGTGAATGATGAAATTCCAAAATAAAAGCGTCACGTCTTTTATAATGTTTAATACTAATATTTTAACAAGCGTTCCAAATTTTCGGCATATTGAACTGGTCTTGGTCTACTACAAATTGGATGACGATTAACAAACAGGAATATAACAGGTAGAATTTGTCAGACGCAACTTTACAAGACAGCCTGACGGGCTTTTATTTCGTTTTAGCAAACAATAACACTTGAATTACGCCCTTGGTGTAATTTAAACACCTGTTTAACGGACTGTTTTGGCTGAGCGACTTTAAGTTATAGTCTCTTTTAATTCACAAAGGCGTATTAAAGCCTAGCTATGTATGGAATTATGTTCTAGTTAATGGACGTCGATGTGAGAATACCACATATTATTAACTGCTGTAATCTAATTATAACTTAGTTTGAAAGTAAGCATCACAAAGTTTTCTAAAAGTCAAAGCTTTCGGTCGGTAGTTTGGGGTAAATATTAGAAAGAAAACTCGTTCCAGATTTAATGACTTGTCGTTGATTTAGAAAGTGTACCAAGGATTTTAGGATTTCGGATTTTGCTATTTACGCATTTACTTTTAATTACCTTCACCTTACTGATGCCACAAAATGAAAATTGATCCTATGCAACAAAATACAGGAAGGAATACAGGAGAACTTCGGTAAAAAGTCAGTGATATAGGATAATTAATAACATTCTGATCCGAAGAAATTTCGAATATAGCCCACGCACGTGACAATTTTGATTTAGCTTGGCATGTATAAATATTATTATTCAAAATATTAAATAAATCATGATATGACAGTTTAGGACCTTTCGCGTTCTTTTAAAAACATTTTATCCAACAGTAGGATTTTCTTTAGTGTCGTGGAAAAGTTTTACATATATCACAAGCTGCACATGGACAAAAAATCAGATCCTGAAAAATCGTTTGTACGCCAACAACAAAATCCTTACAATTGCAACTAAATGCTTAGCCAGTGTGATACCGAGCCATCGAATTATTTAGCAATAAGCTCGAAAAATTCTGCGACGGTGTATCCACTAGCATATAGCATCTGTGGATATCTTAACTTTTTTATAGGATAAGGTGACCAACGAGCACACAGTCCACCATGGTAAGCGGTTGCTGTGGCACATAAATATCTACATCTATCCTTAATTACGAATTAAAACGCAGATGCGTTGTCAACCGTGAGGACTAAGATGGAATGCCTCGTTTCCAGTAAAAAGGGTCTCCAGATTTTTACACTCACCATACGAAACACAGCAACACTAAGCTACTATTTAACGCTGGTATTCCGTGAGAGCGTGGTCCTTTCCCGATCGAACCGACCCATTCGTGCTGTAACTATACTACTAATAATTGCAGTATGGCTCTACCACGTATAAAATTTTTAACTAACTAACTCTTTACCTGAAAATAAATCATTTTTGTGTTGTTAGAATATTAACTTAAGCTGGGATTCGAGTACGAGTAATAACTTCGTAATTAGGAACACACCATGTGTTTCTGAACACTTTCAAAATTATAACTATTAATAAACAACATACAGTTAAATTATACACACGGTTAACTTTAATTATATTAAAAAACCAATTTTTGAAAGCATGTATGGTTTTAGTATTTTATTATTTCGTAAAAATTTGTAAATATTGTTGTATAACAATAAACAGAGTTCGGTTTTGAAAAATATGTAATATTTATAAATTCATCTACATAATAAACTGTTATAAAAGATAAATATCTGTAAGTAAACGACATTATACGCCCAAGTAATTTAATGTCTATTGAAATTAATTAGGAACGTATTTAATGAACAATCGCTATTTTGAAGGGGACTTTTGGTTCTGTTTGCGTCCTAAATTCGCATTAGCAAGTATATCTTAAAAAGGGCTTAACCGAGTGGCGCGCTCGTAATTTATTTGATTTGAAGTTTTTTTCGGAGTGTTGCAGCTCCGGGGAGCGCCATTAGGGCAGCTCGTTAGGTTAATGCGCTGTGGGTGCGAGCAGATGTTCGCGGAGCGGGTGGCGGTAGCGTTTTTGTTGTATATCATCCTTGTAGCGCAGTTAGCTCGACTCTTGTAGTGGTTTTTAGTCTAAATGATCTACCGTTCCAGCTGTTCGAGAGCAGTGAAGTCGTTTGTGCTAAGGCGGTGCCTAATGCCCCGGTAATTATGAATGCTATTTCGTTGATATATTTCTTCTGTGGTATTAACAAAAGATTTTATTAAAGCTATTTATAGATAGATATATGTGATTTGGTAAAGAATAATAAACTGTAGCGTTAGTCATCATCACATCATCATCAAAGGTTACAGATAGTCCACTGCTGAATGTAGGCCTCCCCGTGTTATCTCGCAGAGGATGGCCATAGCTACTACGCTTGGTTGGCGGGTTGGTCACCGCGGTTATTTTCGTTATCAGGACGATGCTGCTGCTCATCTCCTGTCTAGTTTCCCTGTCGCCTTTTTCGATACCCACGGGAGATATTCTAACACACGACACTAACCGTAGCGTTAGTGACGTTTAAAAGTGATCTAAACACAATAGTGTGATCAAATGGGCTAGTAATTAAAACGCTTTGCTGCTACGCCGCAGGTCCTGAATTTGAATGTTAGCCGAAGTCAATATAAACGAAAACACATAAATTGTAATTTTCTTTACCTTCAGTCCAGCCACCATCCACCTGATGGTAAGTAGGTGCTGTGGCCCATGACATCTACATTTATCCTCGATTAAGAATCAAAATGCAGATGTGTTGTCACTCCTGAGGAATAAGATAGAATGCGCCGTTTCCAGTAAAAACGGTCTCCGGTTCTCTACACTCACTATACGAAACACAACAGCAATAAGCTGTTATTTAACGCTGGTATTTTGTGAGAGCGTGGTACAACCATAATATATCTGCAATGTGGCTTTACTACATCATGA